TTTCTCTGGACCTCTCACACTCAGTATACACATTTGTTTTTCTCTTTGCTAATCTGTCTTTCACTACAGGTCTGTCTGTCCAAACTAAGGACTATGAAAAGGAGAAAATCATTTTTCTTTTCCTGCAAGAGTTCTCCTCTCCCTCCTGGCCTGCCAGTTGCTATCTACATTGTAAAGAAAGAAATGGCGGCTGAATGCTGCTATCAAATTGCTAATTTAATTGGTAAAATGAGAAGCAATGAACTAAAAGTTAATCTGAAAGGAAGGGAGTGGTGCCCCTTTGTCAAGCCTTGTTTTTCTTTCAGATCTGGTAGCCCCCAGGTCACCTCTTCTTTATTATTATTATTATTGACACTGGGTGGGTTTGGGGGATTTCCTATGAACTATGTGAGAAAGTCAACTGTTTTCCTCCAACCCCCCCCCCCTTTTCCCCAATGCTCTCCCCTTGCTCCTGGAGGAAAGCCATGGCAGCTGCCAGCACCCTCCTACCCCCAAGCCTCTTTACCACCTTGTGGACAAAGGGGGCAGAGCAGGGACAGGAAATATCTAAAACCCTTAACTTGGACTCCAAGCTGGGGAGGCTTTCTAGAAGAATGCTAAAGTGACAGCAGATAGAACAGACTATATTGGTTTAAATTTTGCAGCTGGGACCCGAGTAGCCACCACTTCTGGGTTGGCTGCTCTTTCATTCACCCCTTTGCTGATCCTGCCCATCTCAGGGAGTGAGGCAGGGTGACAAAGCTGCCCTTTGTGCTCCAGTCCTGCCCTCTGTCTGCCGAGAGCCTGGGCCCTCCCCCCTGAACTGGCAGGGTGACCAGTGAGCCAACCAGCTCCTGCTCAGCCCCCAGGGTGGACCCCGTGCACAACAGTTTCTTGCCCCAGGGGACTAAACAGTAGGTTTTTATTTTTACCTTGAAGATACATTTCTTCTCCTTCTGCGAACATCTGGCCACACCTGACACATAGTGCACAGGAAGGGTGATAGTGTTTCTCCCCTGCCTGCAAAAGAGCAAACAGCAGAGGTGTTTCCACTGAAGGCAGCTACACCCACTCCACTGGGTACAGCACAGGGACGCAGGGGACACCAAACGGCCCGGCAACCTTTGGGACTAAAGGCCCCTTGCAGGGAGCCCAGACCCAGAGGTGCCCTTGGGCAGGGCTCAGCTGCATTTGCCAGACCAGAAGGAGACCCATGTCACCAGGTCCCTCCTGGGCTTAGCAGAAGGAGACCGGTCCCCAGCATATGGGTATCACCAGCAAGAGGAGAAAGACTGCAACGCTACCTCTCAGATGGAGGGACTGCAGAAGTGGAGTGAAAATGATTAAGAATTTTCATTTTGTATCTCTGTTCAAAATGCTTAATTTGTTCAATTAGCATTTTCTAATTTATATAACTTTCAAAATTCATTAAATTAGATTAGAAATATTAATACTGAAATAACCTAAACAAATTACATGCCTGGGTTTGGCAGTGCCCATTTTCTGACGTTAGGGTAAGGCTGAGGCTAAATGTGGATGCCAAAACCCTACGCTGCTGTTTTCCCTAAATGGGGAAGAAGTTTCATAGCTACTACCTGAACTTGAAGTGGTAATGACCACTTTCCCTTCTTAGGGGTCATTCTAAGCACCTTACTTTTCTTTTCCTTGTCAACCAGCACCTTCCCTGATGGTGAAACAGGCCCATAGTTGCCTCTGGGTATCAGGAGGAAGAATGCCTCATGTGGCTGCTCCCACCAACCGTTAGGTCAGCTGCAAGGCCCCTTATTGTCTACGGACAAAGGGGCCATTCTGAGCCACATGAGGACACTCACGCTCTATCCTACCTGTCTCAGGCCTGAGGCTGTAGCTGTCCCTTCCACCTGAAGTGCCTTGTCATGGCCCACCCCCAGCTACCCTGACCTTCTCTGTCTCATCCCAATGCCACCTCCTCTTGGAGCTTTGTGGAAGGCTTCTCTAACTTGCACTCTCTCAGGCCCATTTCACACTGTTCAGTCACTTTATTTGGCTTGTTTTTCCCCACTAGCCAATGACAACTGGAAAGCCATTTCAGGGCCACTAGCTGCAGGGAGCTGTCTGGATGGCAGGAAGTACCCCAGCACCTGGCCCCAGAGTGAGAGAAAAACAGTCATTTCAGGGATCACATGCTGAGTGGTCAGAGCAGCACTCTGAAGTATAAATTAGAGATGGACATGGCTTTGTATTTTCAGACGTAAAATTCACTTGAAAGCAATCTCACAGAGATAATTGATGACTCCTCACATTCGTAATATAACCTGAGTGGACATTCCCAAGTTCACGACCCCTCCCTTGTCCGCACACCCACTTCATCCAGGTGCCCCTACCTCACACTGAGGGATACACTCCTCCAACTGCCTGTACCACAGCTTCCACTGGCAGGAGTTCTATGACAGCCACACTGGAGAAAAATCACATCCTCCCGAGCACACAAAGCCTGCTGTCTATACCACACGTCTACACAGCATGTCCACTGGTGAATCGGGAGAAATTCTGATTCTGCTGGGGATAGTTTCTAAGATGATTGCCTTGAATCCCCTTTAGTGATGGTGGCTGTTGTCTCTATAGCTCATGGTAAGAAGCACTCTACACAAATGTTAACATGGGTAATCTGTTCAATAGCCCTATTAGTACATATTACCTTCACCTTTCAGTAAGAAGCAAAGAGAGGTGGAAGAACGTGAGCAAAGTCCCACAGGAGATGGAGCTTGTCTGAGCACCCCAGGAGTCTGGCCTTTGAGTGCAAAGTTGAAGCCCATGCCTTGGAGCTCTCAACCACCAGTCTGGAGGTCCCCAACTCCACAGTATGGATGGCAACCCTGGGACATGGATCCCATCCTCACAAGCACCCTGCCATGGTATGAGTATTTGTCTCCTCCAAAACTCACATTGAAATTTAATCCCAATGAGGGGCTTTTACCAGGCGATTGGGTCATAAGGGCTCTGCCTTATGAATGGATTATCCACTCCTGGATTGATGGGTCATCACAAAAGAGGCTCAGCCCCTCACCACGTGATGCCCTGTGTCAAGTCCCCACCAGCACAGAGGTTCTTACCAGATGTGCCCCTACGCTTCCCAACCTCCATGACTCTGAGAAATAAATGCCTCTTCTTTATAAATGACCCAGCTTCAGGTATTCAGTTATAAGCAACAGCAAACAGCCTGGCTCTCCTCAACCCTCATGCTTGAGCAAACAACATGGAGAGTGCTGGGAGCCTGACCTCAGGCAGAAGAAGCTGTGAGCAAAAGGGCACAAGCCGTGGTTTATGAAGCTCAAAAACAGGCAGCACAACCACCTGTTAGCCTGCTCTTGGGGAGTGGCCAAAGGGGGCCAGGTGGCCTCTGGAGCTTTGGACATGGTCTCCTTGTTTTTTTTTTAGACAGTCTCTGTCACCCTCAGTAGAGTACTGTGGCGTCGTAGCTCACAGCAACCTCAAACTCCTGGGCTCAAGTGATCCTCATGTTTCAGCTTCCCGAGTAGGTAGGACTATAGGCACCTGCCACAACCCCTCTATTTTTTGTTTTCTATTTTTAGTAGAGACAAGCCTTGTCTCACTCTTGCTCAAGCTGGTTTTGAACTTCTGATTTCAAGCAATCTTCCTGCTTTAGCCACCCAGAGTGCTAGGATTATAGGCGTGAGTGTGCCATCAAGACTGGCCTTGACTTTTTTTGTGTGTTTTTGGTAGAAACAAGGTTTCACTCTTGCTCGGGCTGGTCTCAAACTCCTGAGCTCAGGTGATCCACCTACCTCAGCCGCCCAGAGTGCGAGGATTACAGGCGTGAGCCACCACGCCTGGCTCATGGTCTCCTTCTTGATTTGAGTGTTGGTAACATGGGTATGTCCAGTTTCTAAAAATGTATCAAGTTGCACGCTTATGATTTGTTCATTCCCTGTTATAGGCCAACAAAAGAATTTTCCCACAAAATGGATCAAGACCTAAACATGAGTGAAAACTGTAGAGCTATCAGGAGAAAAGGCCTGGGATATAGCAATGGACTCTCAGATTTGATGCCAAACACATGAGCGACAGAAGGAAAAAACAGATAAACTGGACTTCATCAAAATTTAAAACTTTGGGGGCAGGTGCGGTGGCTAAAACCTGGCCTGGGAACCCGAGGCGGGTGGATGCCTCAACTCTGGGAACCCGAGGCAGGTGGATGCCTCAACTCTGGGAACCCGAGGCGGGTGGATGCCTCAACTCTGGGAACCCGAGGCAGGTGGATGCCTCAACTCTGGGAACCCGAGGCGGGTGGATGCCTGAACTCAAGAGTTTGAGACCAGCCTGAGTAAGATCAAGACCCCATCTCTAAAAATAGCTGGGTGTTGTGGCAGGCACCTGTAGTCTCAGCTACTTGGGAGGTTGAAACAAGAGGATCACTTGAGCCCAGGAGTTTGAGGTTGCTGTGAGCTATGACACCACAACACTCTACCCAGGGCAACAAAGTAAGAATCTGTCTCAAAAAAAAAACAAAACAACTTTTGGAGATCAAAGGGCACTATCAGGAAAGTGAAAAGGCAACATAAAGAATGGGAGAAAATTTTTGTAAATCACACATCTGATAGGGCTGTAGTATCCAGAATATAAAGAACATCTACAACAAAAAAGACCAACGGCCCAATTAAGAAATGGGCAAAGGACTCGACTCGGCATTTCTTCAAAGCAAGCACATAAATGACCAGCTGGTACATGAAAGATGGTCACCGTCATTGTCATCAATGCCAATCAAAACCACAGGAGACACCACTTCATACCCACTAGGGTGGCTATAATTATAACAAAAAAAGTGTCTGTGGGGATGTGGGAAAATAGGAACCCTTGTCCACTGAGGGTGGGAATGCAAAATAGTGCAGCTGCTGTGGAGAACAGCTCCCAGTTCCTCAAAACACAGAATTACCATATGATCAAGTAATTCTACTCCTGGGCATTTAAGAAAAACAAAGAGAACAGAACAGAAGGAACAAAAACCTGTGTTCACACAAAAACTTGGACCTGGGTGTTCACAGCAGCATGTGACCAAAAGGCCCACCAACCCCAGCATCCATCACGGACAGTGCTGTTGCGGTCCGTGTGCAGAGTGGAGCCTCACACGGCCACAGAGGGGCGGCTGCTGAACCCCACATGGCCACAGAGAGGCGGCTGCTGAACCCCACACGGGCCACAGAGGGGCGGCTGCTGAACCCCACACGGGCCACAGAGGGGCGGCTGCTGAAGCCTGCCACAGCACAGACAGACCTTGAAGACAGGGTAAGTGAAAGAAGCCAGATGCTACGTGAACCCTTCTGCATGAAGTGTCCAGAACAGACAAATCTACAGATAGAAACAGGTGAGTGGTTGCCAGGGGCTGGAGGGGGCTGCTCAGTGGGTCTGGGGTTTCCTTTTGTCGTGACAGAAATTTTGGAACTAGAGAGAAGTGGAAGTTGCACAACACTGTGAATGTACCAATGTCATCAAATTGTACATAGTAAATCGTTGATTGTGGGTTATGTGAATTTCACCCCAGTTGTTTTAAAAAGAGTTGGTCCCAGAAGGAGAGCTTCTCATTCCCAACCATCAGCCAAGCTCCGCACTAAGCACCTTATTCACGTTGTTCAAGTTCATCCTTGCAACAACCCCTTGGGCTGGGTGTTGTTCTCTATCACCATTTTCTAGACGAGGCAACTGAGGTTCAGGGAGGCGAGGAGACCTTACCCAGGGCCAACATCAGGATTAGAACCAGGAGGGACTAGGAAGATACCCATGGGCTTTGGAGACACAATGGCCACCAGCTATAGTCAGCCCCACATGTCCCGGGGCTTGTGACATGGAACTTGCTGGAAACAGCCCTCCTCCCATACCTGAGGATGCAGAGCACCTACTGTGCGCCGTGTGCAGAGAAAGGAGCCCTTGATACACACACAGCAGGTGCCCAGCTGACCACACCGAGGAAGAGCCCCCGGTCCACCAAGCCACAGTGTGATTTAGAGCCCCATGACAGCCAGCGC